TTTTCACTTGAAAGAATAGTGGCGATCTTGGGATTTTTTTCTGTTCAATTTTCAAACTGTGTAAATTTAATACACTTCATCTTCAGCATGTTTAGTGCCACTTTTGTAAGTAACCACGCCCCCGTCCAGGCCACGCCCCCGTCCAGGCCACGCCCCTTCCGCTTTTTTCATCACTCGCCATTGCCATGTATGCCCTACTTGGAGTCGTTGAGTAGTTGGTGAGGGACGAGGCATGTGGCGGCGTGGCGGCACTCAGGTGGCTGGATCGCCTCATGCAACCTGCCGTCGACAGTTGGAGTGTGAGTTTAGCAGCGGAGGGATCATGCTTTTTTTTTTTTTTTTTTTTTAACATTTATGAAAACAGGAATTCTAGATAACATATAGGGGGGGGGGAAGAATTTTTAGTTTTGTACATTTCAAGTCTTTTTTTTTTCAACACAAAAATGAGCACATCATATGAGTATTTTTGCCACCTCTGTATTTCAACAACAATCCACACCTCACCGCAGAATTTCTCACAGGCTTACCGGGAGTCTTGGCTGGGCTCTTCACACAGAAGAAGACCCCATCAAAGACCACAACGTCAGACTGGCGTGGCGCTACTTGAGAGCGCGGTCGAGGCTGGCCGTCGGTGGTGTCACCTTCTGCCTTTGCAGTGTCGGCTGCCTTCTTTTGTGCCAGCACCGGTTCAGAACCCGCTCAGTGACTTTTGAAAATACAGCATCAAACACTTGGTTACTTTTTTTCCATGGGAAAACCCAATATGTCATGTCATATATGACCTAAGTGCCTTGCCAGTCACAGTCACTGGTAGTGTAGTGGTAAAACTGCAGACTTTCAGCGCACTCTGCGCATGTTCAAAACCTTCTCGGTATCATGTGAAAATAAAATCTTGACCACGTACAGTAAATATTCCCATCCCCGGAATTCTATGAAAAGGAATATCCTTCACCCGGAACAAAAGCCTGTGCATTAACATTTTGACTACGATATTACATGTTACCGGAACTTACGTAAGCGGAAATTCCACTACCCGTAACCCGGAT